TCTGTCTCCAGCAGGATAGTTGGCTTCTGGTGAGAAGGCTGCGGAGATGCCACGGGCGTCATGACGCCGGGGCCGTTGCTGTAGAGGGTAGGAGGCGGCGCCGTCACTTGAGAGCATGAAGAGTTTGGGCGAGAGTACATGGGGGTCGAAGGAAGTGTCGGCACCATGGGGTACACCGGGAGCTGGGCCATGGCCATGTGTTGCTGGGGGTGCTGCTGAGAAAAGCGCCCGTGATGCCTGTTGTCGGTCCTAGCCTCGGGTGTGTAAAAGAAGAAGGGCGAGTGGCCCATCTGTGCTGTCATCATGTTGGGGTCCATTTCGGTCCTTGACGTCTGGAAGCTGTTGATGGTTAACTTCCCATGAATCATGGCAGGTGGACACACAGCTGTGTGGTACGGGCGTGGACCTACCAGTTGATGAGTTTTCTTGCGAGTGAAGCAGTCGTTATGCGTGATATTTCCGGGTCGATTATGCGAGTAGAATGGTATTGTTACTTTACAGGTTCCTGAGCGTGGAACTATTGGAGTCGTGGTTGCTTGGGGTTTGGTGGTTTGCCTAAAGATGGTGTTTGTTCGGTTCCTAGTGATAAGGATTGGACGACGGTGGCTTGAGGGGACAAGGACACTGTCTAGACGACTCGAAGTATCGTGATGGGATTGTAGTACATGAAACTCGTCCAAATAGTCTCGTGTGGTTGGTGCTTGATTATACCGAGGACTGGTGCGGCGGAACGGTTACTTGCGTGTGGGTTGAAAGGATGGACGGGGCTGTTCGATATATGAAGAGTCCCAAAGAATGATGTGTTCGAGTCACAAAAGAAGGAGGAACCGAGCGGTCATGAAGAAGAAAAGGGATCGCACAGGCACATCAGGGTCGAGAGACAAGACTGTCGATCATGGGATTGCCAGGAATCAAACCAGAGGCAGAGTGAGCGAGCGTGGGTGGTGACGGGGGATATGTATCTCGAGAGCCCACATTGATCAACCCAGATGGGCCCCAGCGATAAAAGTCATCGATAGGTAGATGGAGGGGACCTGGCATCGGCACGCCGGACCCAGTCTTGCCAGTGAACGTCCCCCGACCCTCCACGCCGCCCATGTCTCACTCAGTCTAACAGGGGTCAGGGAACACTTCTGAAGGTGCAGGGATGCCGACCCAGGAACGAGAGGGCGGGCAAGACGGCGCAGTAGAGCGCCCACCCTTCACCCCTGTCTCCGTCGGCGTGTCTGGGGCAAGTGGAAACTTCAGATGGGTGTGGTGGGCTGGCCCACCACGTCCACGTCCGCATCCTTCTCCACTGTGCTGGTCGGTCGATGGCGAAAGGTCTCGCTGTCGTCGTCGGCGGTTTTGGTGGTGCGAGTAGCTGTGGTGGTGGGTGCTCCGCTCCTTCCACCCGCGTCTGCACCCACACAGGGCTCCCTCAACCAAACTTTGCAGGCACACACAACCTGCCCTGCCCGAACAGAGGTGCCTGATGAGGGCCTGGGGGGGCGCAGTCACTAGCCCTTTCTAAATCTGGCCGCGACACCAGCCCTCCCGGCTGTACCGCGATATGACGGGTACCCTCCAACGACTGGTGACCTGTCTCTTGTCGTCTCTCGCCCACCTGGTGTCGTCTCTTCAGTCCCAGCGTACCGAGGTGGGTAGATGTCGAGGTACCTTGCCAGGGAAAACTACTCCCGTAGAAAATACGATGTGGACATCAATTATGCCGATGCATATGTGAACCCACCAGTCCATACGAGAAGTGGACATAGGGCGAATCGTCATGAAAGAGAAGCTGCCCACAGGACTGACCGGGCCTGCCAGAATAGAGAGATGCCAGCCTCTTAGGCGCCTCTCTACACCACAGGCAGCGCGCGAGTCGAGGCACGACGGTACCAGCTGCGGACGAAATTGCCGCGCAAGCCGTCAGCACAGGACGCATTGTGTAGACGTTGCATGCTTGAGTGGCACTCAGATCATCCATCACCAGGAACCCAGCGGCATCCTGCTATCGACGGTCGCGCATCTTGTTGGCGAGCAGGCACATGCCGTGGCCCATCCTCGCCTGCATCGCTAACGGCGCATGTATCTTTCTGGGAAAGGTACATTGCGTGGCTCTGGATCCACTAATGATTGTGAAGGGGGATGAGACGACAGAGGCCAGATTTTCATAAACATCCCGCTGCGCTGAGAGACAAGTGCGAATTGAAAAAGCTGGAACCCATGTAACTCGGCCCTGCATAAGCCCGGGGCTCGTGTTCGCTGGTGCTCTGATAGGCTCCAAGGTGTGGATAATATGTGCTCAGATGAATAGCGCCAGCCATCCAGCTTGCACAAATGGCGCGCTCTATTGGCATTCGTCCGCTGGGTGCTTGTGCGCGCGTCGTCCGTGTTGTCTAACCGCAGAAGGTGGGCACAGGCATTCGGTTGGTGGCCTCCACGTCTCACACAATCCGACGATCGACCAGTGGTGTCGCCGAGGGCCTATGCAAGGCACAAAAGTAATGAATGCGCGCACTAGCCTCTAGCTAGTGACTGAGTGCTGATCACAAGCCCACTGATGGGCGTTGCGCCGCCTGCGTGCCGATCACTGGACCTGTCGCGCATCACGCTGGAGCTCTCTCTCGCGCGCGCGGAAGCGCCGCTCTCCAATGGATACTTCCTTTTGGGTTCATTGGGGCCTCCTGCCAGGATGACGACACAACCTGAGCCTCCTAGAAGAAGTGCATGCCGTTCGCAGTGGCAAATCGTGACCCCTTCATGCTTCCAGCTGGACCGCGTTTGACGCTCAGGTGCATGTTCTCCGAGAGAGGGCGAAACGTCCTGCACTGTGCAGCCCATGGCAGACATGACTCCGTGGATATTGATCTCTGAGACGGATAAGCCCGAGGCATTGAAGAGACAAGCTGGGGCCGTAAAGCAGGACGTGTCCAGTTCATGCTTTGGTCTTTGCAAATCGTCTCGCGTCCTGCCCGCACGGTATGGGGGTCTACTGGGTTGCGTTTGAGAGGAGCTGAGCGTAGTTGTCAATTCTCGTTTACCTTGATCACCCAAAGCTTCCGATGGGCCGATTGTCAGCGGGAATGGGGATGGACATCTCTCAAACCAGATCTGCAGGCGCGTTGCGCGAACTTGCACCACCATGATCAAAGGCGACAGCCCTCGGTCGGTGCTTGGTGCCTTCACCGTGCCTGGTCTCTAAGTTTGACTGGCCATCACAGAAAACCATCCAGCACCTATCACCGAGCGGCCATGGCGATGCGTCTCTTCGGAAGGGTGGTGTTCAGTCTTTGCTGGCCCAGATATGATGGTGGTTCTTCTTGGTGTGGCATCCAATGCGAGGGTTGTTCACGCCTCTGGCACGACTGCTTCGGGGCGGAACACACAACACGAATCCGAGGCGTGAGATGCAACCACTCACTAGCACTTCTTCGCGCCCGTGCATCCCTGCGCAATCTTCACACTGCTCGACCCGCCACTCACCAGTAAATATTACCAGCGTCCGCGCGCTTTTGTGTGAGCTGATCGACAATCGGCGGCTGTTGTGATCGATACGTCGTTGAACGTGGTGTTCTTGATGAGATATGTCGTCATTGGAGAGGATGAAGACATGCCGCCGTCCGTTGCTACCAATGCCTCATTTAGGGGGAAGGGGGGGTCTCGTTCCGGGTGAAAGAGGCTATCTGCGTTCATCAGCCAGTATTGCTGACCGACAAGTGGCGGCTTGAGCGGACGATCTTGCGAATTGAAGAACAATACCAGAGGTCTTTGATACAGCGACCATCATGACACATACCAATTGCATCAAACATTGCTCGTCTTCGTCGAGCTTCTTAGGGTTGTCCTATTGTTGTTGCCTGGGTCATCGTGGTCTTGCCAGACGCCCAAGGGAAGGCAGCCCTTGCCTGGACTTGCCCTCTTTGCTGTTTGCCCCCGTCTCCCGCCACGGGAAGGTGTCAGGGAGCGAGGGTGAAGGAAGGACCAGCCCCCGGTAGACCGAGCATGAGCTTGCGTCTACTGTCTGTACGGTAGGTACATGTATACAGGCTGTAGAACCGCACTGATCTAGGGTCTTTCATGGTCTTGTCGGTCATCCAGTCATGATGCCAATGCTTGTTGCCTGTCACCTCCACCATCCCGCCGCATCATGACATATTGTATTTGTCCAAGCCAACCTGGTTTACAAGCTAGTCCCTGCGAAATACGCGTGCACACAAAAGCCCTCAAAAGACAAGTCAAGCAAGCCGATGTCGAGTTCCGATGATGCCAGTCCGACCAACCATTACAACAAGGCAGTCAGCTATCGGCACAGGCTGTCGATAACTTTCACGACTCAGGGCCTTGCCCCTTGGTCTTTCAATGGGGACACCAGCCCACGTCGGACGACGGTTCGAAGTCAATTGACAGCGCCTCAGGAATACGAAAGGATATTCCCACCGCCTGAGCTCAAACGACTGGAGGTAACACACCACACGCGAAAGAGAGAAAACGAATATGCAGTTTACCAAGACTCCCTGCTGAATGATGAGTCGATCCAATGATGAGCTGCGGCCCATCAACCACGCCGAGTTGGCGCTATGTCGAATCGGACGAGAGACGCAATGCGGGCGGCGCTGGACAGATGATGAAACATGAAACTCTCAATGGACACCCTTTCACTCGCTCAGCATGGTATGGACTGTGCGTTTGGGTCGCCGGCTGAAGTGCTGGCGCCGGCAAAGTCCACAGCAGACTGCAACGCGCCTGCGTGCACACCAAGTTGACGCCAACCGATCGAATCTGGTCTCCCACTCCAGTCGACAAATCACCTCACATGCTTTTCAACAGGGCGCCCAGTCTGTAGGGTACCCGCGCCGGTGACGCCACCAACCCGCGACCTGGCGACTTCTTTCGGCGAACCTGAGAGCGAGATACACATAGCTGAAGGGTAACATTTCGTCCGATAATAAGCAGAACCAACTGGAGCGCTGGCCAGATGGGTGGTGCCCACCACCCCCAAATAGGGTCTGCTCATAATGCTTAGGTTTGTCCATTCATTTGACTAATACTTCCAATTTTCGATTATCGTCCTGCGGGCTCGACCAAGCGGTGCGGCTGCACCCCCCAAAAAGATTCTAGTCACCAGCTTCAACCAGCCAAACTACGGCTACGATGCCTTCCGGTGCCCAACGCTATTGAGCTGGCCCTTCTTCGGTCTGGCCCGCGTCCACTGGAAGACGCCCGTGACGCCCGCACTTGTACCGAACTGAACTACGTAAGCCATGTCGCCCACGCGCTAATCTTTAGTTGAGACGTTAGCTCTGCATAACTCAGGCACAATGTGGGATGCATTAGACTGATGCAGGAACCGACTCCATCAAAGTGCGACTCGGACACAGTAGGCATTACAAGTACAGGCGAAGCTAGACACCGGGCAGCACAACAAGGAAGCTCTGGGGCTGTGCTGCAGCCTACTTTATCAGTACATGGCGTGTTTACGACAATCGGCCGGTCCTATGATCCGCGTCGTTATTGTGCTCGATACGACCCACATGCATCCGACTTATGTCGATGTCAGGGCCACGCCACCTGCATTTCGGACGCTTCCACATGCTGGTCACTTGGGTGGACTGTTGGAGCGGTCTCAATCATATGCATGGGTTTGCATAATCACACACATGCAACTGATCAGCCCACTGTCACAACTTGCCTAGATGGGCCAAGTTCACACGCCGCCCGAGTGGTGATCTTCATTCCCCGGCCCTCGTAGGATGGACAGGGAAGAGTCCAGCCTCTCCTGCAACCTTGAGGGCCGACAGAGCAACACTATCGGGCACGAGCCGTTGGCTTTTCACAAGTATCTCCAGTTATGAGGTACTTCTGAGTCTGACCATCCAATCTGCAGGCCGCAGTACCTTGCATGGGCCACCTTCTCCATCAGGTTTACCAACGCTTGCATATTGATGCACTTGTCTGCACACAAATGCAGGAACAGACACAAACATGCAGGAACGTCGACTCCAAGCCCAGAAAATAGAAGGACTGGTTGCACAAGTTGACCACATGCGCGACCTCCGAGGCGCACCTTTGCCCTCTTTGGATCATGGGCCGACTGACTGCTTCTACGACCAACCTCTACCATAGTGGATCATTCGAGGTCCCCTCTCTTCTGATGGCGAGCACGTGGTTATGGCTCGAATTCAGTGCCGAAACCCATGCTGTCCTCGACCATCAGCTGGATTTTCTCGGCCAGACTATGGTGACCAGCCCCCCTAGCAGAAGGCTTCGCGGAACCGGCAAGTTGCCGCTGTCTCCTTTGGCGACCTGGGACTGTGGGTTTCGCTGATCGGACCCAACCATCGATGTTTCGGGGACAATGGAGGATTGTGACTAGTCGTATTTGGGATGGAACTGACGTGGGTTCTGGTTGCTTGAAGACGCCAACAGGCGTCATGCAAGCCTGACTGCTCCTGGTTCTTTGCCGCACCTGCTGTCCAGTACCTGTCAGCCAGCCAGACGGGTCATCCTTTGACTCCGCCGACTAGGTCAGATGCAAATACGTTTCAACCCGCCCCTCGCAACAGCTGCACCTTACGTGGTGGTTGGGTCGGCCAAAGGTAAAATCGAGGCCATGGTCCCAAACCTACGGAACTGGTGAATCTTAACCGAATTGCGAACACCCCCCGGCTCCTTTACCCGGCCTTTCTTCCACCAGTTGTGGGCTCAGTCAAATACGAGTGCAGAGTTTTCATGATGTTTTCCTCCGGCCGACCAAGCTTGCTTCCCTGGCGTTGCCAAAGCATAGGATGCCCGACTGTACTTGAGGGAAGTGTACGACAAGCTCTATTCGGCAATGATTTAGGAGAAGAAACAAGATACACGAGGGTTCTCGCGCTTGGTGGCTGATCGTCAGCTTGGCTGGGCCCAAGTCCGAATTTCGCTCTATCAGATTTGGGCGAGGCGGGGTTGGACCGTCTTTGAAGCCTGAGAGGCGAATTGGACATCGGATCCTAGTGCTTGGCTCGTCTCGCGGGTTCCCATATGCCACGTCCGACTCGTGCTAGCTTGTTAAGCTGAGGCGGTGGTGGTGTTTGCTGGACATTCGTCCGTCTGGTGGCTATAGGATGGGGAATCCTGCCGATGGGGAACATCGGCCACGTCGGCGATCGAGTCCCAAAGAGGGCACAATCCGAAGACGATGATTGCCCCGGATTTTGGTAGGGGACTAGAGGCAAGGGGCCCCTGTCCATCAATTTAAAGCGAATTTTTGTCCCTGGCTCCCATCCTAGTATTCGTAGGTCTTGTCCAGGGTCTTCGCCGCAGACTGACATGAATCTCGAAGATCGCAGACAGGTCGCCAAGGGGCCCTTGGAAATCCAGACGAACTTGGGGCCTTTTAGCCTGTCCTACAGGCTGTTGTGGCTCGATATGCTCAGGCTTCAACATCTGCGAAATCTAAAAGGCCGGGTGAACCGGTGAGGGCTTTGGACTAGGGCTGGTTGAGCGGTCCGATGGCGGGAGCCAGAGCTCACACCGAGGCGAAGACGATGGCTCGGCTTGGCATGAAAATCCTCCGCAACGAGCGAACCCTGTATGGCGAGGAGTAGGGTCTCGTTCATGTTTGGGCCCTGGGACCCGGGGAGGGAGTGTCCCACACTGACAGATACAGTGGAAGGAGGTGCCTGCCAGGCCTTTAGGGCTGCTGATGTTGCGTGCTGATGGACATTGATCGCGAATACCGAGCAGTCCGACGAACAGATTGAGCCCTTGCTAGGGCATTGGATTGACGATGCTTCCGATACCGCCGATACCAGTGCATCGGCCGGAACGGAAGAGAGCCAAAGTCACATGACGTTGGGCAAGGCATTATGACCAGTATTGGGAAGTTCATCGAACAGATGCCGACAGATTCAGTTCAGCTTCCTCGTACTTTGGTGTTTGATCGTTTGCGAGGGCCCTTGCCCCCAGCACCAGCCAGCCATAGTGTCGGCCGCCGTCCTCGAGTCGGGACTATGCCTGGGCCCTCCAACGCCAGCTTATCGAAAGAGGGAAGGCTCGGGAAGCAGGCCTGGCAGGTGGCAAGACCAGGGCCTGAAGACAGACCCGGTCTAGGATACAAAGGTACCAGGATGCTGTCCAGGGTTCAAGGGCCCTGGTGGTGTTTGCCCCCATGGGCCCGGGAACACCCCAAAGTCCTCCCCGTTAGACCGTCGCCACGGGGCGCCTCTGGCCCTTTGTCCCAAGACGGTCAGGTCGTTTGACCCTTGCGCAGGTACCAATGCAAGCCTCCACAAAGGTCCTCGACCGACCCAATAGGGAACATCCGCGGTACCCAAGGTATCAGTCCGTTGTGTGCTGGACGTTCGAGAAGGTTTCAGGGCCCCACGATGATGCGACGCTGGGCACCCAAGTCGCCGAGAAAGCTGCTGGACTTGGCCATTTCCCACCGACAACGCAGTAGAGAAACTGGCCAAGAAGCATTCAGAAACCAAAAGCCACGCGATAACAGTGTGGGAAAGGCAGACATGCTACGTTCACTACCCACACCGACCCTGATGGTTGCAAAGATGTCGCCACGCTCGCTCGTTCACGCCCGATTCAGGGTCTTCATCCCGAGGAGCACCTGGTAGCACATAGGCAGTCCGAGGCACATGGCAATGAACATAGCTCAGGCAGTCGGCCTACTTCTTTGCCATTCACTGATGCCCAAGACAATCGCTCACGGCGGCGTTCCAACTGGACCGGACTCAGTTGATCTTTGACGGATCGTCAAACCAATCAATAAGCTTCGCACCGTCTTCGGCCCCAGTACTTCCCGCCCGCCAGGCGCTAGGTTCTACTAATTTCTCCGCCAAGCCAACCCTGATACGGGCCAATCCGTGGTGTATTTCTTCAGGCGAAATGACGTTGGTAGGCGCTAGAATTGCGAAGCGCTACTGTCGGGGTGCGTCGTCGTAGTGAAGCTCCGGTGGGAGATGAGATGAGGGCGAAACAGTGGCCTGGTTCATTTCCATCAACTGAACTACCGGCATCTATGCTGCTTCTAGAAAACAAGGCGTGGGGCTTTGGGAAATTGAGGTCACCTTAGGCCCTGGCTGCCTTTGTATCAGTATCGTGTCTGTATCTACTCCATTGCCTCATTACAACCGGGTTCGACCCAGTTCGCCGTGTCGCGGGCGGGCGGCGGGAAAAGCAATTCACCAACGGGAGGCAATTGATTTACAGGGTGCCGACGAACAGGGTCGCGAGTTGACCAGGTCCAGCGTGCCTGCATCAAGTTGAAAACACACGCTCCCCATTAGCATTACGGGATGCATGGAACAGCCGTCGACGGGAGCCAAGATAGGCGAGGAGTCACAGGCGCCAGTATCTCCTCATGATCGTGGGGGGCCTATCCCCCGTGGCCATCTATCTTCCAGCACCCACACTATCAGCGAGACGGCAAACAGATGACGGTATGTATGCTTGGCCTTATCACTCACGTGGGATGCGAGAACGGGATGGTGCGCCTTGACGACATGGCGACTGACCTTGACTCTGCGCACGTTAACTTAGCCAAGCAACGGCAACGGGCTGCGTCCGCCTTTGGACTACTTCGCGGAGTCGACAACACTACAAGCGCGGCCCTATTGTCATTAACAATCTCTTTGAGGTTCAGCTGTGTCCGCGATTGAAGCGGACGTGGCGACGATTTCGCACACGTTTATCCACCTGGCCACACTCCCGAGCACCGGCATTCGTCCCTAGTCCGTAATCATAACCTTCTCCATCGAAGAGCGTGTCTCACCACCGAAAACGGCAAGGAGGTTCTGTACGATAGATTAGCTGAACCGGGGCACGGGATCCGGCGCATCGGCGTCGGCCCAAGCAGAAACACCACAATCACCTCGTGGCCCTCCGACGCCACAAGGTCTTGTTGTCATCGATACTATTCATCCATTGCTTGCTGTCAATAGTGTCTCGCGGGCGTCGCCCGAAACATACTGGATATTGCCCCTGTATAAAGCGAACAGGCAGCATGCCCCCCATCAGAGCGTTGTGTGGGTTTGAGGATGGGAGGGGACCAGACGCACGCACAAGGGTGTGCCGCCATAGCGCTTGAATGGATGCGAATGGCAGCTGTCATCTGAAAGTCGTACAAGTGCCCTCCAAACCTTATGCTCGTTCGAGCCCCCGGCGCGATGGCAGATGATGGGCCGGGGCGAGCTTGGCTGTCTGGCCTAACATCCTTAACGACTCATGTGACAGGTCTCTTTGACATTGGCCCTTT